TGAAATTCTTACTCATTCAAATTATTCGGTAGATAATTTAGAAAGAAAAACATAGCATTTGATAGATTACAATCATTGTATAACTTTTAAAAGTGGAACCATATCATTTCGAGAATATATTTGTAAGTATCGAGTCAGACATGGTTTTATATCGATCTACCAAAATAAACTCACAGCATTAGATACCAACTATTTTGCTTAACTAATGTAACTGATTAGATCATTAGTACCTTGTCATTAAAAAAAATGAAATTTAAATAAATCAAACAAAGAGAAAAAGCTTGAAAAAAAAAAAAAAAAACTAACTATAATAACCATCGGTATCATCCCAGTTATCCTTCAACGAAGCATTAGCTGGTTCTTGTCCAGAAACTATTATTGCAGCTTTGTTCAATACCTAGAACATACAGTCTTTTTTTTTTTGAAGTACTATCATTTTTTAAAAATCTATTAAATTTCCTACCCATAATAAAAGAAAGCAACCACAACAACAAAAAAAAAAAAAGAAAAATGCAAAAGAACCTCAGGAGGAAGTTCGGCATCTGTTGCAAACATATCAAATGTAGTAGTAGTACAGTCTTCGACAATTTTATTCTCTACTTCCCGCTTGGTATCCTCTCCACGCTGTCTTCGTAGTTCTTCAGCTTCCTCTTCCACTGCTTTTCTTAGTACACGATCAACAGCAGATTCTTCTTGGCCCTAAATAAAATTACGATAACAAAATAATTTAGTAAAGAAAATCAATAATCAAATTCTAATCTAAAAAAAAAGAACTCCTTTTAAAGCGAAAATTTCAGACATACCTTGATATGAACCATTTTCTCTTTCAAATCACCATAGAAATCTGCCGGAGTATCCTCACCAGTGGGTGAAATCGGACTACTGCAGCAAGATAAATCACTGTCATACTTCTTCTGGAGTTCCTGCTCAGCTTCTCGCAATAATTGTTCATCAGCTGACTGACTTGATGTTTCTTCATCACCAAACCTCTCAAAACTCTGCTCTTGTTTAATATTGTCTGCTTTGAAATTTGTTTCTACGCAGTTATCTTCATTCACTGGTACTTCATCGAAGTCAGTTTTCGCCCTAAAAAAAATCACACATTCAATAATCAGAAACTCCTTTAATTTATTAAAATGAAAAAACAACAAAATTCCACCTTGGTCGCTCTTTTTCATCATTCTGCTTTTCAATATTTTTTATGATTTGCTGACGACGTTTTCGAAGCTCTTGAATTTTTTTTTCTTCTTTTTCGTCAGGATCTTCCCATTCAATCGAACTAACACTACCTTCCCGACGATGATAGTCTCTTTTCTGGTCCCTGAATACAATTAATTTATGGCTAGTGTGAAATAATTAGCCACTTCGGAATTTAAGAAAAAATTTACTCCTGAAAATTAAATTTCCGAAGAAAGTTATTATATGGATATTGATGGAACTATTCATGTGATGTGATGAGCCAAACATACTATGGAACTTTCGTCTAACTCACCCATGAACTTTAGTTTCTGACTTTAAAGCATCGTCGCGCCGACTTTGACTTTTACCATTAGAATCTCGCGTTTTCCCTTTGTCACCATGTCGATCTCTTGATTTAGCTCGTTCATGTCTTTCTCGCTCACGAGATGACTCTCTACGACGTTTCAGCTCAAGGCGAGAACGATCCCGAGATCTGCTTCGACGAGGGCGGTCTCTAGATCTGCTTCGACGAAAATGATCGCGTGATCTGCTTCTTTCACGTCCAACTCTATCTCTAGACCTCGAACCATCCCTTCGCAGTCGTTCCTTAGATCTGAAACAAAGGCTATTTTGGAAATTCTAAGACAAAAAATCTCGCAGCCTTGGGATTTACTGCCATTAAAGATTACTTGCAAGCATTAGGAGAAATGCCCCTGAATCAAAACCAAAAAATGCAAAAAAGACTCACCTAGATCTAGATCTGGAACGTGGCACACGCCGTCCCGTTGAACGGGAACGTCTGTCGGAACGTCTGTCGCGATTACGGTCTCGATCACGTCCCAAGCGACCTGATCTTGAGCTACTTCTACGTCTATCATCTTTGAATCTTGAAATACTACGGCGAGACCTGCGATCTCGTGACTCTGATCGCCGTTCCTCTGTTTTTTCATTATATCCACGTCGTTTGCCAACAGAACGACTACGTCGTCTAACGTCGGTTGACCGATCAGCATCAGTTCTCTTCTTCGAACTTAATTCGTTTTCTTTTCGCCTCTCACGGTCATTCTTACTCTCAGGAGACAAGAGATGTTCTTCATTATCAGCTTTCCTGGTATTTGCATTATTCTCAACGAGTTTTCTTTTAACTCCTTCCAACTCTCTCTTCTTATCATCTTGCTTTTCCCCCCTTTTCTCGCTCTTCAAATTCATCTTCTCTTCCAACATTTTCTCTGTTTCTACCTTATCTGTCTTATTTTGTCCATCATTCTTCAGGATCTCTTCAATTTCTCTCCTTCTTCTCTTTGCCAACTCATATTGTTCAGAATGTTTCAGATGTTCTCGTGAATGTGCACGCTTTCGCCCTCTTTCTGGTGATGGGCTTACTTTTTTTGACAACTTTTCATCAGCTGCGGTTCCGTCATCCGGTTTCTCGGTTCCATTTTTGGGTGAAACCTTTTTTATCAACCTCCCCGGCGCAGCATCGTCATCTATTTTCTCAGTTCCATTTCTAGCAGACGGCGCATCAATTTTTGAAGATATCTGTTTGTTTTCATCATGCTTACTTTCCACTCCACCCAGGGAAGATGAACTATCATAGTCGGATTCCGATATTTTACCGGTCTGTTCGTCTGAATTACCTGAAAAAAACTACACGTTTGAATTATGAAAAGAAGAGCATTCACCGATTTAGCTATTATTTACTTTGAAGAGGTATAAATTTAGATTTAAGATAATATTTAAGCTAAATCATTCACCCAAAAAAAAAGAAAAAAATGGACTGAACTATGGATTCCTTTGAACTTTTAGACTGAAAAGAGATTCAATAGCCTTTAATTGCATTTTTTGAAAAGAACTAGTGAAACCGATTCTGTAGTTTATCTTTGGTTCAAAGTTAATTTAACCGCAAGTAATCGTAAGAAAATTCATTATGCCTATAACCTTTGCTTTTTTTTTCACTTTCTTTTTGTAGTTTTTTCTCCAGTACTTCCTTCCGTTTTTCCAATTCATCAAGTTCAACATCACTAAATTCTTTATCACCATCTGCTTTCTTTCTTTTCTTGTTTTTCTTATGCTTCTTTATCTGCAACAATTTCATCCAACAACATTTTTCAAATAAACTGCGGAGCTCATCTTGCATTCATTAATAATGTCCAAGTTTGAAAGAAAAAAAAGTGGGCCGAAAGTTTCAACCCATTAAGCTTGATGAAATTTATTCAATGAAACTGAAGTAAAAATCGAAAATCCCAAAAGTACCTGCACTACCGAAATTAAATTTTCAAAAACATAAAGAAACAAACCTTTTTATCTTTCTTTTTTTTATGATGATGCTTTTTGTATTCTTCGTCATAACTGGAATCATAATGCTTACGCTTATGCTTGTGTTTCTTTTTGGCTTTTCGCTTCTCGCTGCTACCATCAGTCTCGCAAGCAACAGTTTTTGCTGCATCATTCATGTCACCGGAAGTGTTTAAATCCATCTCCGCGGTGGTATTCTCTGCATCCATTACTACAGCCATCTGACGAATAAATTTAGTTACTGACGACAATTCAATGATATTAGCCATACGAACTGAGAGAAGCAATTCACAACGCCGGCATGAGACAAATAAAATGAACCGAACTGTTTAAATGGGACTGAATTTATTCGTTGATCAGAGTAGACTAATTGTATCCAACCTTATCTGATCAAGACACCTAACAAAATTTGTTTTCAGTTATTTTCTTTGAGCCAATTTTTGCAAGAATAATTTGAGCAAATCCAGAAAGCTCCTCTGATCATTTAATATCTAAAACTCAGCGGTTTTTGATATATCAAAACTTAACCTGCTAACTGCAAGCGGGAATTTAGCAAAAACAGAAAAATAAGTGCAAACAACGTGACCAGTACACTGTAACCTCTTTTCAAAAAAACAGTGCAGAAAATTTTGCTTGAATCATTTACCACTATTACTAATTAGGTTAAGAGACAAAAAATAAAAAAGGAAGAAATACAAAGCGACATTTTTTCAGCTTTCTAATGCTTCGACCTAATCAGATGTCCCACCACATATCATATTTCTTGATTTTTCAGTCACTTATGCATATCGCATGTGTCCAAACACAGTTACATGTCTGATACAATCATGCCTACTATCTTCCTTTCTTTTCACATAACTCAAAGCTATTTGCTGGGTTAATGATCAATAAGAAAGGAAGAAAAACAACCACATATTAATATGGAAAGCATATGACTAAGACAATGTCATGGTGACGAAAAAATAAAGGAAAAAGGGAAGAAAACGCTTTCATACATACACCTTATGTGTTGCATTTCCCTTAGTTTGCACCTCGAATTATGACACCAACAAGAAACATGGCTGGCCGTCAACTTAGAACGCGTCCTTTGCTTCTGAAAGCTCTTTTTGTTTATTTATTTTGTTCGACCATGTATAAATGGTTAGTTTTTATCGAAAGTGAAAGAGAAACATTTGCATGCAAGTGCATAATTTCATCGTTTCTGTTTTAACAGTTGAAAGGTATAAACAAATAATAAGGAAGAAAAAAATATCAGAGTAAGTTTTTCTTTCCTCTTTAAAAAACACTTTTAAATTGAAACTGTAAAACTCCTGGCTAAAAAGATGTTTTCTAAAAATAAAAAGCTCTTTTTTTTGTTACAAAAATTTAATAAAACCTAAAAATTAAAAGAAGCTAAGAAGGCGGCTATAATAATATCCGCTTGATAAAATAAATAACAACAACTACAACTACAACAAGAACAACAACAGTTCGATAGGTGCTTACGGTGGTGACCGCGCAGTCATATGATAACAACGTCAGGTGATTCATCTGAAAATTTGATAATTAAAAAAACATAACCATATTAAGGACTAAGTTACGTACGTTACTTCAAAAATCAACTAACTGGCAAAAGCTATACTGCCATGACAATTTTGGATAATGTCATTCCTCAAACCCTTGCAACATTGCTTAAAATTTTCTTGCCATGATTACCATGGATTTCTGGGAAAAATGATTTCCGAACTGAGCAGAAAGTGAAGTGAATACACTCACTTAACGCGAATTCCTCCACCAAAACAGAATTCATATTTCCGTAACACTATGTCGCTAAAACTGTCATGCTGAAACAAATAAGGTATTGCAAAATGAAACCTTCCGCATTTGTCCGTTCAAATTAATGATAAAAAATAACCAACTTCATAGGAACTTTCTTAATTTCTTAATTTTCCGAAAAAAGTAGAATTACCATAGTCTACAGTCTACCATAACTTGAATTTAGTTAAGCATCGTACCACAAGTATAGCTACAAATTAGCATAGCTTGAAAATGTTCCCCCGGATAACTGCAAAATGCGAATCAAAGAATCACGACACAACGGACTTTTTTACTAAAACAATAAAGAAAACAAGCAAAAATTTTGCGGAGAATTGTGGAATGTGACAAAGCAAAACAAGATCATCAAATAAATTTTGCAGCTTTCTGAGATACTAAGAATTATTGCTCCAACAACCTTTACAGTATCTGACAGGTAAGGTTACAATGTTTTGTTATTTTTTGTTACTTCATTCAACAGTATTTTTCAGTCAGCCCAAATCCAAATCATTCTGCCATTGCGTAGTAGTATAACCTTACCTGTCAGACACTTGTATTTCTATAAACTCTCTTTTTCAAAACTATAAAACAAGCCTAGCAAACCACGGTAGAAAGTCCAACTCAATTTATAAACCGTTAATATATACATGTTTTTTTGAATACACTGCGGAGGAAAAAAAAATAAAAAAAAAAAGTTTGTTTAGGTGAGTTTAGAGATCTGCTAAACTAACCAAAGATCGCCTGCAATAATACTTGAACAAAATGTCGACTACATAGAAAGTGATGAAGGTCTCACGGCCCAACAACAAATCATTCAATATAAAGACAGCTGCAACTCAAATGCATACGTCTCGTCAAAGTTTCTTCTGCTACTGGATATTTCAACATTTTGAATAACAGTGCCATGTTAATTCAACTTCGTCTTGCCGAAAGACTGAATCAAAAAATGAATTTATCAATTTGTCGTTAACAAAAATAGAACCCTGCACATTGAAATGGAGGATGGGTGTTGTTGAACAACAAATAGCGTATGATAAAGTTGGACAAGAAATTAACTTCCAGCGGAAACTATAGGTAGTCCACATAAGCTTACAAAACTAATAGAACTAAAATTAAGATATCCAGAACTAAAAATTAATATGTCTGCTAGAATCCAGATGCTCAAATGGACTCTAGCAGACGAGTAATCTAAGTTAGATATTTGCTTGGAAACAAGTTGTTTATTATTCTGCTTAAAAAGTCACTGTGGGACAAAAGGATCTATTAAATATGAAAATTATTAAACAGTTTTGATTGCACTAAACAAACGACTTGATGATGAAAAAGATCTTAAGCGATAACTCGATAAAGTTCGAAAAAATCTCTCATCGATTCACCACATTCAACGAACACTCGATGCGTTCCTGAAAATCTTACAAGAAAAAAAGAAGTTCTTTACGAAAATCGAAATGCACATAGATTTTATGAAGTTTTTCATTCAACTAGGTTAGAAAAAGGTTAGAATATATGACAGTTCTGAATACAACCCGAAAATGGAAGAGAGAAGTAAGAAAATAGAGAGCAAGGCAGAGAAACAATATAAATTCTGTTTGTAAAAGGAAAAAAATTCTGATCTAAATTTGACCACAACCAAAGAATACTTTCAAAACTTTAAAATAAAACGCTGAGATTGGAGAGACTATCGAAAACATTCATAAACAACAGTTAAATTCAGTTTATCGAATAAAAACTATTTTTCCAATTAGCATCTAGTTGCATTACAGAATCATCCATTCATGCACGACCGTCTGATACTACACTATCTTGCAGTAAACCCTCCGGAAAAAATCCGCGACAAAAATTGACTGTCGGTAAGAAAATACAAAACGCAGCCCCTGCGATGAATTTTGATGGACTGAATGCAAAATAAACAATCCTGTTATTTGAAGATTTTGAGAGCGATCAAATCAGTAAATTCGCAAATGTCGATTTCGATACTGATATGTCTTTAGGTTTTGAAGTTTAATTCACATGTTGTTTATGTAAACAGCTTTATAGTTGCTTAAGTTTATCTCTCAGATTTCAAAAAAAAAGAAAAAAAAAATTTTAAACGCAGTTGCTAGCTCGCAACCGCGTCAACGGGCCGCATTAAATTACGTGATCGATTGAGTTATCACTAAAGTGGTAGGGTGAGCGTTCTGCGTAATGTACGTGTACTGTTATTGACGACAAATCAGTGTGATGGGGAAGTGGTAGTGTAATTTTATTGCTAATGGATTATAGTGATATTGTTATAATAATATTGTAATGATCATAAAGATCATGGTGATATTATTGAGTGTTTTTATGGATTATGATGATAATTGATGGTTTGTCATCACTAATATTACAGTAGTATTAATGGATCATTATAATGACAAAAAATAAATAAATAATGAAGACTAAAATTTTGTAGGAATATTACTTAAATCTTAGTTGAATGAGAAAAGTAAATTAAATAGTGTTTTGTTGAAATGAATTGTTACATACATCATCTTTTGTTATTGATATAATCTTTTGTTGTTAATGTGATGAAAAACAGGTGTAATTTGTAGAGGAATTTACGAGAAAAGGCAATATCATCGGAAAGATATGCTTCCATTTGTTTATAGCGGTGATGGTGATCGTTGTGGTAGCTATGATAATGAAAGGTATATGGGTATATGGTTAAATTTTGTTTTCAGTATCAGATTATATTAAATTAAATTGTTGTATGAGAGGATTTTTTTTTTTCGGCTGGGAATAAATTTCGAACTTTGACTGATGAAATCATTGCAGGCGTAATGATAGATATCGGCGAAGTAATTCAAGAGGCCGTTCTAGATCTCGATCATGGTCCAGAGATCGGCGACGTAAGTGACACTATATAATGTTTGATTTTTGTTATCTCTCGTTTTACACTTTTCAGTGAAGTGTTCATAAATCGGTTTATGATTAAATTTTTTCAGGTCGAGGTCGTTATTCGAGGTCACGATCTTCCGGTAGAAGCCGTAGCAGAAGCCGTAGTTGTACTCGCAGTTGTAGCCGTAGTAGCCATGACCGTTCGCCACGTATGGATTTCGATCGAAGACGCCGATCAATCGATAGGGACAGAGAGGTCTTTCAACCATCCAACAACTTTTATTATATGCTTCACGTGATCACTTAAGTAGCGCTTCATTTGCGTGAATTGTACTCGAAAAAAGTGGTGATGTCATTTGGAAACGCGAAATTGTAGCCGTTTAGGAGCCACGAGAATTTTCAAGCGCACTGCCTTATTTATCTTCCATGCAAGCTCAATCACAAACTGACAAATATGCATCGCATACCGCGCTTTATGGACAACCACACTACAAAATCGTCATGAAAATGTTACCAACTGATTCGCAGCGAGATGCGGTAAGGTTTTCTTATCAACTGTTATCACATTGTTTTAATAATTGTTCGACTGTAATGGGTATCAGCCGTTTATTTAAATTTGCTTGACTTCCTTTTACCTTTACGTGGTTGGTCCAACCGAGGGATGGATTAATTTTGAGAGTCAGTGCAACCTGTTGATGTTGTAGCTACGGACAGACTATAAAAACCTGATTTCGATGTTCGTACTGTGGCTTTATAACCGAATTAACTTTTCTGTAATTTCTCGGTTTTTTTTATTTGGTTTTTTGTTTTATTTACAATTTTCTTGTTTGTGAATCAGAAATCAGAAGACTTATCGTTTTTCGTAACTTCTGGAGATCAGTTGCCTTACTTAAATATATGGAAATTTATTTGCTTCAAGTTGAATATTTATTTAAAATTGGTGTATTTTTCATAATTTTAGTTAATGGCACTCACAGCACGTCAAGGTTTTCGGGTCAAGGATATCCGCATAATTCATAAAGGTAATTGCCATTTTCTTCTGTACAGCCAACATATTAAATTTTAATAAATTGCTTTACATATTATCTTTCGTTTGGGTTTTTGTTTTGTTTACATCATTTAGTTACTCTTTACAGTTTTCTTGTTCGTGCATCGGAAGACTTCTTGTCGTCCTTCGTAACTTTTACCAGTAATCAGCTGTCTAACATAAATGTGTAGAATAATTCTAGGAAAATTGTAACGAAAATTGGTACTTCTCGGTGAAAGCTTTAATTTCTTAAAATGTTGGATTTATGAAATAATCTTGTTAATACTTCGAATTCATAGTGTCACAGTAGTATTCTCTATTCTGAATTCTGTAAAAACTCCAGAAAATTATTACTTTCATGGAAAAATTGTTTAATACGGTGATTGGGTGGATGGCTAAACCGGAAATTTTGGTGAGATGGCTAAAGTACTGCCTAAAACCTAAAGCGTGAATGTAGGTTAGGATAAGGACGCAGACATATCCTGTATCTAACGCGTACGTCTTTTACCTTGTATTAGTAACATGTAGTCCGAAAATATATGACGAGCAGTGTCGTGATTATTGCACTCAGACGAAGGAAAGTATCGTGGATTCTAAATCCAGAATCTTTCATTGTCATTAACTTGTTGCAATAACTACAGGTCCAGACCGTTGTTTCGGATTCGTGGAATTCGGAGATGTGAATAGCGCACAAGCTTGGATGGAATACAACAAGGTCGAACACTGTATAATTTTTATCCGTAGAGAAACTGCAGTTTTTATCCCCCTTAGCGAGTGATGAAGGCCTAATTTTAATAGTTTATGAAGATGTAGGGGTGGTACTTCCATTACTGTCAGGACTTAATTCCGGGAAAAATCCTGGAAATACGAAATGTTAGCTCGTTTATGGAATTTCACGATCGGTTAACGTTTTTACACGTTTAAACGATCACTTTCAGCACTTTTTTCCCGTGGGTATCTTTTTCCCTATCGTTTTTATTCTTTCCTTCCTTTCCAACGATAATTAAGTAATGTATCCTAACGAACGTGTCAAATGCGTGAAAGAAACCGCGTAAATCGTGTTTCAGGTCATACGGTTGTATCCATGTCCATTTTTAAGTCTTATTGTTTTTTCCAGGGAACTTTGCTACTGGACGATGGACGACCAGTTAAATTAGAGTATTCACGTTATGATAGTCTAGATGGACGATCGTCGGGTCTCTCTGGTTCAGGCGACTGGATGTGCGCAAAAGTATATTTTCACGTGATTTATAGCTCATACTAGTTTATTTGATCCCTCTTCATGTTTCTCCGAATAATTTAGCATCAAAAATTTTAAAATTCTCGTATATGTTAAGAACACTTCATTTTGCAGTGTACTATAAAAAATTTTAAAAACCGGGGAGCATGTTTCAAATGCAATTTAACGCGAATGGAATCAGATGGATTGACCAGAAAAGGTTATGCAGCGATTGGTGTCGCGAAGTGTGACAGTGAGTTCCATCCTTGTCTTTCAAAATGAAGATGAAGCTTTGAAGCCAGCTTTTGGAACATGATATCAAGTGGAATCTAGTCCTAAATTGGAAACGAAAAAAAAGACAATTATGTTTTGTCTATTATAAATAGATTATTTTTAGCTCTTTTATTACGTGAAATACCGCTAAATTGTACGGAAGCAAAAATTCAAGCAGAAATGAATCGAATATCTTCGTTAGACGTTTTACGTGTTCATATTGCTGAGTCAGGCCTTTATGCTTACGTCCAAATGCGTAGTGCTGATGATGCAGAAAGAATTATGCTAACACTGAACAAGATACCCTTACTTATCGATGGTTGTGCAGGTAAATTTCTCTTTCTTCACCTAAGAAAAGCAATGGTAATATTCATAATTGATATGGTTGCTATATGTTATAAGAATGCATGTCTTATGTATTTTTAAAATATTTTTTTGACAGTTACTTCTTTTTATTGTCGTATTTGGGTTTGAAGTGGAAATTGAAAACTATAAACTTCAGTAATGGTTACTTACTCGAGATTACCGTTGAATACAGTGCTTTCAACAACAGCAGCAACCGAATCAATGCAAAAGACAGCCGAACGTATTAATCAGATGCCTGCTTTTAGACCTACAGCTGGACCAAGTAATAGTTCAATAGCTGATGACTTCAACTTCTATGAAAGATCTTAAAATTTAAATGTTTCTCACTGTACAGTCTGCGCCTTACTGGGCTTGTAGCATTTGTCAGTTTCAAAATAAAGCTATTATGTTTATGAAAATTTGCTCACTGTAGTTTAGAGTTATCTTTTTCAGGTGGTAATGCTGGTGTAGAAGCAGCACAGTTGGCAATCGCGAAAGCGCAACTGATTCGGCAGATGACGAATTCAATGATAACTACGGGTGATACGGTTTGTAAACACTTTTTTTAACTGTACTTTTTTAGACCACATTTACACTTTTTTAATTATATTTTTGAAATTTTGAATCATGTTTAATTTCATATTTAAAAAAACCAAAAACCAATGGAAGTAATCGAGAATTATTGAACTGTCCATTGATTTTAGTAGTGACATGTTTAAAGGTCACATTTTGCCGTTTGTTACCCTCAATGTCATCGATTACAGCTATTTCACTTGATTCATCTCAAGATTTTTCCATAGTTCTATCTCCTTCATTAAATAGGCGAAACTATCTTCCCAATTTTATTCGGACTTCCACCATAATCCTATATGCAGCAACAATAAATTTTTTTACAGCTGAAGGAAAACTTTCTTATACTCTCCATGTCCTATGTTATCCATGTAAAGTATGAATTTATTAGGTACCACCAATATATTCTGCGGCAGGAACTGCAATTCCACCAATTCTTAATCGACCTCCACCTCCATTACTACACGAAACAAATTTCGTTGTTACCGATTATTTCAAAGATGAGACTTCAGCTGACAGGAATTTCGTTTGCGTTGATGATATAACCATTCAGGTATAGCTAATGTCGTGAAGTATTAGTTTTTTAGCTTTCGTTTAGTACGTACTAATATGCAAGATTAATAATACACATTAAAATTTTGCGCTTGTTGCAAAGCTTTGCAAACAATTTTATTTGACTTTACAGGATTCACAAGGTGTTCCTTCTGGTGGTGGCGTACAAGGGTCATCAGCTTCTTACAACGGACCACAAATCAAGGGAGCCGCCGATTTAGGCTTTGTAGAGACTCCCTGGGGACGTTATAAAAGATATCGTACGTATTTTTTTCGTATCTAATAGATTTTAAAAATATAAACTAATGATTATTCCTACTTAATCAAAGTCATTTAAATTAATTGAATTATTGCAGGTGCACCAAACCCAACTATATATCAGTTTGAACCATCTTCCGGATTATATTACGATCCAACCACTGGTCTTTACTATGACAGCAATTCACAGTACTATTGGGATGCTAATGTGCAGAAATGGAATTGCTGGAATGCAACATATCAAACATATATACCGTGTGATTTGATGTCCCGACAAACTGGGGCGGACCAAGGTAGACTGAAATTCTTTTGAATTTGTTTTTGTTTTTCCAGCAGGATTCATATTTCATAAAGAGAAATTGTTAAGGTGTTAAAATTGTTAATTTTGCACTCATTAAGAAATAATGAATTTTCAGAAGTGACAAATAATGAAAGCAAAAACGAAACTATTGAGAAAAATACTGAAGTTGTAAAGGACGAACCAAAAAAAGAGGTAATTTCATTTTAGTGTATGGTGAAAATTTATAATTGGATGCGCAAAACTTCTGGCGACTTTTTTCTTGACTGATGTTTTTTCGGGAATTTCAAAAGATTTTTAAAAATGAATTTATAGTATTTTTCTTGATTACTTTTAGCCTCAAAAGACTGCGAAAGATATTGCACGAGAAATGGCACGTTGGGCTAAAAAGCAAAGTAAAGTGTTATTAGCTGTCAAAGCACCTCCAAAATTGGAAACTACATCTCCTCTAGTAACTGCCGCCAAACCGAAAACAACTGCTGTCGAACCAACTGCTGATCTGACATATAAAATGCTTGAGAAAACAAGTGTTAGCGAGATTTTCGATTTTTCGTTTTGGAATATTTCCTGAAATTATTGGTAAATTTGGAGTGAGAACTGAAATTGGTTTTCTTTGTGATAAGTTGAAAACTTTCCTATTTGCAGAATCCATTTGGCTCATACAGTGATGATGATGAAGAGGAAGAGATACCACCAGCAGCAAAGATCGCAGCAGTTGGTGCAGGTCGTGTAGCACTGAATAGTAAAAGTGGAAATCGTTTAATGCAGCATACAGTTGATTTACTACCACCTTCAGTTGGTGATTCTGTTGTTCCACCCATCAAAACGTATGTTTTCCTATATTTAAATATATATCGTTCTACCGTTCTAGTTTATCCTGCGTGAAGTATGAAGTATACTGTTTTGAATAGGAAATGAATAGTTGCAAAAAATTTATCTCGAAAGTGTTATTTGTAAAGAACAGTATATCATATGCTAGTTGAATATTGCTACTGTTTTCACTTGTCACCAGTTTCAACCTTAAAACACTAAAAGTTATGAAACTGTACATCTGATTACATTTTCACATTTATATTGTACAGCAGTACTCGAATAGTCTTCTACTACTATTTCGAAGTCGTACTTGTCTTATAATGCAAAGTCAAGAAGTGAAAGAAAGAAAACAAAAAACTTTCAGGACGCAATCGGATGAAAATTTCGTTGATATTGAAAAGAAATACTGTATTTTGTGTAGGCGGAAATTTGCAAGTTTAGAAATTTTGATGAAACATGTTCGAATGTCAGATCTTCATAAGGTATCATAAAGTATTCAAGCCGTACGGATTTGAAAATAATGTGTCAGTGGATGTCATATACTTAGGTTTTAAGTATTATTTGGCCATTCTACTCATTACATTAGCTCTATTTGGTTATTTTTGACGGCTAATGTTGATGTCTAATGACACGTATTTACGTGATTTTCTTTGTCAAAGAAATAATTAAAAATGTGGTATGATCAATTATTTGGAATTACGGTTTAATAAAAATAACAAAAGCTTCTGCATGCGCATAAGTAAAGAATGTTTTGAATAGTATAATATATGACACCGCATAGAATAATTTTTTTTTTTTTTTTTTGTTCTATCTAAGATAATGACACCGCATAGAATAATTTGTTCTATCTAAGAGTGGTATGTTAAATACTTGATAGTTGTTGCATTTTGGGAATGATCTTACTAATTTTTTATTAATTAATTTTGTTAGCAATAAATCCCATTTTTCAGAAAAATCTAGAAGCACATTTATTACAAGCATCTCTCGATGACAGTGCATCATTGTCTATGCCAACTGTATCTACTGCACAAGGCGCCTCTTCATGCTCACTTGTTCCTCAGCAATATCGAGATCGCGCAAAGGAGCGCCGTAATTTATTCGGATTAGACCCAAGCGGTCCGTTTTTTTTTTTTTTTTTTTTTTTCATTCTTTATGTGATTTGTTTAAAAAGCTATTTGATTAAGGCTTATATTGCACATAATTCCAATGTTTTTTTTTTTTTTTTCCTCAAAAAAAGCATTTTTAATTTCCTAGGCTTTACAAGTGACAGTGCTGAAGTTGGAGCGGATTATGCTGTACGTTCATCAGACATTCCCATTGATGATACTAACATAGGGAATAAGTTATTGAAATCAATGGGTTGGCAGGAAGGAACTGGAATCGGGAAGAATAACCAAGGTATCAAATTTTTTGTTTCTGGAAAATCAAATTGTATTTGGCTAAGAGGAAAGAAACCGGAGATTGCAAGTATGAACACAAGGTGTTGAAATTCATCATTTATAAATTGATGACTGTTCAGTTAAAAAAAAGGTTTTTTTCTCAAAATATATCCATGATTAGGTTTAAACCTGGTAGATGAATTTTGTCATTTAGTTGAATACCCGAGCTATGCTATGCAAAATTGCTTGTAAACTTTGCTTCACTGACTGGTGATTTATTCGCTTGTTTATTTAGTAATAAATATTCCATTTTAACACGTGAATGAAGGATTTTTTTTCTTTGCAGGTATCATAACACCGATAGCAACTGAGATGCGGGTAGAAGGAGCAGGATTAGGTGCAGCTGGTTCAAGAGTATTGCATGGTGCGAATGCATCCAGGCGAGAACGAGCACGTACTTCAATGATGAGCCGTTTTCAGGATTTGCAGTAATCAAAAAGCAAAAACAGAACTTTTGCTTTTTGATTTTCTTTTTTTTTTTTTTCTTTTGGAATGAAATGAAAATGAGAAGAAAGAATTAATTGGCATTGTTTCAAAGTTTCATTGGGATTTTCTCTTGGTTTTTTTTTTTCTTTTTCCGCAGATTTTTTTTTGGGTTGCATTTGTTTATTGTAAATTTAATGTTCTTGCACATGGATTAAATGGTTCCTTAAATTTGAATTAATCAGGAGTGGTTTTGCTCACTAATTGTGAACTACTATGTCATTATCCTAATTGTTTGTTTAAGAGTACAACTTAAGTTCTCTCTTCGAAATGTCTTTTTCATTATTACACTTAAATTACACTCTTAGTTTTATTTATAGAATTGGTACCTATGTTATGAGTAGACTTCACTGTGTTATTTAGTGGTTTGAAGAATAGTTTTGGAATTTCAACTTTTATTATTATTATTATTTTTTTTTTGTAGCTTTTATTACAAAAATGAAATTATGTCTCAGTGTATGTAAACAATGTAAATTTAATCTTCCGAATTTGATGTTTGGGAAGAGGAAAAAAGAGTGAAGAAGATATTTGGGAGCAGAAATGTAACAGAAGTTGGATGAATTGCGGTAATTGAATTAAATTTATCTGGGAAGAAATGAATCAATGATTTCTTCGCATAGAAAGTTACAATTTTAGCTACTCCAGGAAAGATGAGAAAATATAAGTGATAATTGTAATATGCTGTGAAATTGAGAAGGAATGGTACATCTATTCAATGAAAAAGTCTCTGCGTTCAAAGTCGTATTTTGAACTCTACGGTGGAATTTGTCATCGATTCCCATCTAAGATTACACAGACCTCAGGGTGAATATGTTTACAGTCACATACACAGCAGTATGGTATCAGATGACACGCAAGGAATCATCATTGGTACCATCTTATCATGATGGTATTGAACCGATGAGGTAAGAAATGATTTCGTTTTCAAACATTTAACATTCGGCTATTAGGATAGAGTGTGTTGTAGCTCTCTACAAACATTTAAATAATGTAATGCTCATTCATTTTTTTTTTTTTTTTGTTATATTTGTTTCGATTAATTAATTAATATTTAATTAATGAATAATCGAAATCATCGATGCATATTGATTGCTTATTCTTATTTAATTATTCGTTAAATAATAGATTGCTTGGGGTAAAGATTAATGGGTTACTGTTTTACATATCATATAATAATACATTTTACTATTCTTTTATATATTTTAACAGTTCATTTTTTTTTCTTTGATGGCTCATTTTCTAGGTAATTTGTTTATTGGTTAATTTGGCTTTTATTAATTTGAAATCTTAGTATGCAAACACAGTATGTAAACATCTTAGCATGCAAACATTGAAATATAATTTTTAGAAAACTTCCAAACTTTCTGCTAGCTAATTTTATTAATTTTTTGAAATTGTAATATTAAATATTTGAAAAAGAATTGATGATTTATCTAAATTAGGTGTCCATTTATCACATTCATTATTTATATTAAATCAATAAATTTTATTATATTATGCAAGATTTTGAATGGTATTGACTTATTAAATTATATTTATGCGAAAAAGTTATGAGCTATGCTAATTTTATGCGGTATATTCTCAGTTATTATGAGCTATGCTAATTTTATACGGTATATTCTCAGTTATATAAATGCTTGTTGAACAAATGTCGTTTATTCGTCTAACTTTACTTTGAGAAAGATGGGTGATACTAGTTGTTATATGGGACCGCCAGGAGCACCTACCGGTGGTGGTGGTGGTGGTGGTGGCAGTGCAGGTGGTGGAGCCGGTGGTGGTTATGGTGGTGGTGGTGGTGGTGGTGGTTATGGTGGTGGTTATGGTGGTGGTTATGGTGGTTATGCTTATCAGCAAGAGTATGATTATGGAAGTGAGAATACCATTATGAAAGATTTGACAATTTTTGATCATTGTTAATTACAACTCTCATAATAATTAGTAATAATAATATAATAGTAATGGTGACAATAACAATAATAATTTCAGGTGGTGGTGGTGGTGGTGGTGGCGTTGGTGGTGGCGGCGGTGGCGGCGGCGTTGGTGGAGGCGGTGGTGGTGCTAGCAGTGGTGGAGATGATGGACCAAAGATGCGAACCGATGTTTCATGCTATCTTGGACCCAGATGAAAAACCACAATAAATTATAAAATAAGCTGGCCAAAGTTCTTCCACCTCTGCTTTCACATGAACTAATAACTGATCTCATCTATCTTTCTCTCCATGCAATGAATTCGTTGAAACATCAAAACAAACAAAAAGAATTCTGGCTTATTAGTCATTATCATTATTTACACAACAATTTATAATTTCTACTATAATACTTACTTATTTGATGATGATAATAAAATGAACCAATCTTTTTTTTTTTTTCATATTTCATAACAATGCAATGATATATATTTGAATAAAAAAAAAAGAATTAAATTTTAAAAAAGAAAAATAAATAACAATCATTCATTAAAAGTATTATTATTAATTTTTATTTTTCATTTTAGAAAATACTGTAAAAAAATTTTGGATATAAGATTAAATTCTAAAAGAAATTTTTTTAGAAATAAAAATTTTGCTTTCTATTGACAAACTTTAAGTATAGCATAATAATTCTGAGCAGCAAGCATATCAATTATCTCAGTACTCATATTTCCTGATATTGAATATGAGTACTGATGATGATGAATAGTTAATTGTACGAAAATCCAAAAATTTAAAAAAAAAAAAAAATTGATTTCAAATAATAGCTTTATAATTGTAAAATAAAAAAAAAACATCTAATATATAATATTATATTTTAAAGTTATCATTTTGAATTATTATCTTTATTCGTAGGATGATAATAATTTATGCGAGAATTTGTATTATTAAATCATTAAAAAACACCATATATCTATATATTTATGTATTATTTATTACTTTTTTTTTTTGTTATTATTAATTACTAATCAAAAAATATGCAAAAAAAAAAAAAAAAAAGAAAAGCAAACATACGTGTAAATAATTACGTGAATTATTATTATATCTAACGCAATTTCCGGTAAACAGTGCACCATATAACTATACAATTATTTGCATACGTTATTCTTTCATTAAACCTGAATCCGTTTAATTTCCGGTACATATGTTTCTCTCTCTCCCTTTTTTTATTTTTTCAACATTCCCATATGCTCGTGTTGTTAATGCGATTTATCTATCTTCTTGATCGTGTAAAAATGGATGTGTTAGTAGTTAATGAAGTACTTTTTCCGCCAATTAATGAAGTGGATCTTTTCCGCCTCTTCCTTTTTCCTCGTCTTTTCTTTTCCTTTTTTTTTTTGCATTGTTTTGTTTTTGTTAGAAGTATATTTGAAGTGGGATGCATACCTACTTATCGGGTAATTATTATTCCAAAAGCTTTTCTGTTTTCAAACAATCTTTTCGGGTAGAATGAGGTTGCGTATGAGGAAGAGGAAATGTCAAGGGTTATATTTTGGATATACCTGTCTATTTTTCTTTCCTTCTTCTTTTCATTTCTTCACTCATTCATTCATTCATTTACTTCACTAAATTATATTACCATCAATTAATATAAATTATTAACAATTAATAATAAATTCCTAATTAATAATAATAAATTAATAATTAATAATAGTAAATTAACAAATAAAATGCCATTAATTAACAATAACCAATATTACACCATCGAATTACTATTACATTGATAATAACAATAATGATAATAATGACGATGATAATAATAGTATCACTAATGATAATAATAATAATAATAATAATAATAATAATAATAATAATAATAATAATAATAATAATAATAATAATAATAATAATAATAATAATAATAATAATAATAATAATAATAATAATAATAATAATAATAATAATAATAATAATAATAATAATAATAATAATAATAATAATAATAATAATAATTAATAATAATAATAATAATAATAATAATAATAATAATAATAATAATAATAATAATAATAATAATAATAAGCAATTAGCTATTAACATGATATACAGATGAATTAATTCAATATTATTAGCTTCAGAAATATTTTTCATAATCCAGTTGAGAAATATCATGATAATTATTATTTATTTGAAATATCCCAGATGAATAGAGTATTTTCCCGAGATTTCGTGGTGAGTGTATTTAAATGTGTGTAATCATTACAAAAACCCTGAAAAAGTTATTAGGAAAATGACTTATTCCACAATACATTAATTCATTCATCCATTTTTACCTCTCTTTCATCTATCGTCTCTCTCTCTTTTTCTTTCTCCCCTCTCTCTCTCTCTCTCTCTCTCTCTCCTTATCATTCATTTTCCCACTTCTTTTATTAAGTAAATAATCAAGATCAAATAATATAAGTACTATATTTGTACACCTAAAAATTGAGATAAATATTGAATGAAACGAAACAGAAAGAAGGACAAGAGAGAGAGAGAGAAAAGGACAAAGAGAAAAAGAGAGGAGAGAGAGAATTTCTGATTAAATTTTTTTAGTTTTGCATTTTCAAAAAAAAAAAATCTTCATCTTACTACATAGATCCTTCCGATCATTGCTATTTGCTATTATTGAAAGATTGTGCGAAAGGATCACTGTGGGGGTTAAAGGTCATTCACATATATTTGCTATTAATGTAAACTTTACAAATTACTCTAACAATTTCCAATACTATTAGACTAATATTTCATGATGAAACTAAAAATAATTTATTTATTAGTAACAAAATCTTTTAAAATTTTACTACAAATTCTGATAAATTTATTAATTTATTTATTAAATTTGTTAATTTACAAATATGAATATTTAGTGTGAATGAACAAATAAATTTGTATTTTTTTTTTTGTAATTTATGAAACTTATCGTCTATAACAAAAATATAATTGCAATTGTGTGGTCTAAATTAGACAAACAATTTAATAAAAAATTTCATCTTATCATAGATATTTTATGATAAGCAGAAAAAATGTATGATAAGACATTAAAGTTCTAAAATTTGGCAAAGGAAATCATAAAATATAGTAATTTTCAGTTGGATTTAACGATTAATTAGGAATGTAATTAAAATGGAAGTAATTAATTAAAGTAATTAAATATTTTTCAACATCAAACACTGCAAAATGCTTAATAATATTTAAAGAAATTATTTAATCTGTCAAAGATTAATGAAATTACTAATAAAAATGAGCTTAATTTTATTAAACATTCAGTATATTAAAAGTTTGTATATGTGTATAAAAATTTAAAACTTGCAATATTATCTAAAATTTGCAAACAATGTTAAAATGATAATTAATTAAATTTTCAAAAAATAAATAATCTGAATAAATTTTCATTTTTATTAATAATAACACAAAAAATATTCAAATAATTTAAGCTATTAAATATTAATTCATTTTGAGTTTTAACAAATTTAATTTTATATTAATGATTGTTCATCCATCTTCTAAATTTAATCGGTATAATTTCATATTTCGGATTATTTCAAAATTATGTTTATCAATATCAATTTTTTACTACTCACTTATCCAATTGTTTACTTATTTGTTTTTTTTTTTTGAGATTTTTTGTTTATCGATTAAAATTTTATTTGAAATTTATCAAGCATAACTTTTATCTACTTCAGCTATTATCATTTCTTACATTCAATAAATTTATTTCAACAAATTTATATCTCAAAATGCTAATTATGATTTTTCATTATTAAAAGATTGCTAATAATGCTATTAAAATCAATTTTTATTACATTTAAAATTTAATATCAATTTGATTAATTTAATCATTTTTATCTCATTTCATGCATTGTTACACCTGCCAAATTGCTTAGTTTTATTTCAGGTAACATGTTGATCCAAAATGAAACAGACCGGATTAAATATTGTTTACAAACGGATTACAAACGGATTTATAGTCTCAGTCACCCCTATTGATAAGCTTCTTACAAAGAGCTATGACTATCTTACAATGGTAAAATAAAAGATAACATTTAATACAGTTTATGAATTCTCAGTTGCTAACATACATTTTACTATTCAAATATCCTATGGGTTACTGTAATCAATTATCAACTCAAATCAAATGACAAAAGTTATATTTAAAAAAAATATATTTCTCAACAATAACAATAAAAAAAAAAAGCAAAAACTAAATTAAAAATTTAACAAATTCGAAATAAAATTTGAAAGATAAAAAATTTTATTATATTTTTTCAAAATTACTAACAATTACTAAGAAATATTTTAACTCAGTTAATTTTAATATTATTTTCAATCAATTACATTTATAATTTATTTCATAAATTATTTCAAGTATAAAAATTTTATATTTGAAATCGGTAATTCAGTAATCGATACAGCAATCTTTTGGCATTCGAATTTTCGTAGGTCATAGCATTGATCATGCTTATCACCCATTATCAATTATCATTATTGTCATCACTGTTATAACTATTAATATCGAAATAATGAAAAATATAAAAATGATTATTTTGCAAGTAAAGTAAAAAACTAAAAAAATATTTTAACTCAGTTAACAAAATTTATACATAATTAAATTGCATGTAATAAAATACTTATTACTTACCACTGATTACTTACTTACTACCATTACTGCTACTATTAGGGATGATACCCAGTGTAAACCTTTGAATACTTTATTTGTTTACTTTAGCTAAACAAATGTGCGAAATGTGAAGCTTCATTCAATACCATCAATATTCAGCAAAAATTGATTGTTTGCATATTAATAGAACTGAATAGAAGCATATGTTATACTTCAGATAATAATTTACTTCTCATTAGTACTTTTCACAAAATAATTTCTATTTACTTTACTTATAGAAATACAAATAGTACAGAATTACTTCTCAACTTATTGTCATATTAATTAGTCAAAAAAAAAAAAGAAGAGAATATGGAGAAATATATAAATTAGAGTAATTAATATATAAAACGATACAAGAAATGAAAAAAAAAAGAAAAATCAAGATGATCTCTTCATTATGATGATCTTCTTGTTATTGTTATTGTTGTTGTTATTATTATTATTGTTGTTGCTGTTCTTGTTCTTGTTCTTGTTCTTGATGATGTATATATAACAATAATGATTATTTTCTATGATT